TTCTCTTGAACTCTGCATTCAGTTGGGTATATCTTTCCCTTTCCCATTTGCCTTTTGCTTCTCTTCTTTGCTCAGTTGTTTGTAAAACCTCCTCAGACAACCACTTTGCCTTCTTGCATTCCTCTTTGGTGGGGAGAGTTTTTGTCACTGCCTACTGTACAATGTTATGAACCCCTGTCCATAGTCCTTCAGACACTCTGTCTACCACATCTAATCACTTGAATCTATTCATCACCTCCACTGGGATTTGATTTAGGTTATACCTGAATGGCCTATTGATTTTCCCTACATTCTTCCTGTACATTCTTTCCCTACATTCTTCTTTCCCATTCTTTCCCTACATTCTTCCCTTCCATTCTCCCTGTATGCCTGAATTTTGCAATAAAGAGCTCATGATCTGAGTCACAGTCAGCTCCACGTCTTGTTTTTGCTGACTGTATAGAAATTCTGCATCTTTGGCTGCAGAAAATATAATCAATCTGATTTAGGTATTGACCATCTGATGATGTCCATATGTAGAGTTGTCTCTTGTGTTGTGGGAAGAGGGTGTTTGCTATGACCAGTGCATTCTCTTGGCAAAACTCTCTTTGCCTTTTCCCTGCTTCATCTTGTACTCCAAGGCCAAATTTGCCTGTTATTTTGGGTGTCACTTGACTTCTTATTTTTGCATTCCAGTCCTCTATAATGAAAAGAACATCTTTTTGGTGTTAGTTCTAGTAGGTGTTTTAGGTCTTCATAGAACTGTTCAACTTCAGCTTCTTTGGCATCAATGATTGGGACATAGACTTGGACTACTGTTATGTTGAATGGTTTGCTTGGAAGCAGACTGAAATCATTCTGTCATTTTTGAGATTGGACCCAAGAATTCCATTTTAGTCTCTTTTATTGACTATTAAACTATTCCATTTCTTCTAAGCAATTCTTGGCCACATAGTAGATATAATGGTATCTGAATTGACCTCCACTCTTTACCAGTAGCATATTGGACACCTTCCAACCTGGGGAGCTCATCTTCCAGTGTCATATCTTTTTACCTTTTCTTATAGTCCATGGAGTTCTTGAGGCAAGAATACTGGAGTAGGTTGTCATTTCCTTTACCGGTGGACCACAATATGTCAGAACTCTCCAATATGACTGATCCGTCTTCAGTGGGCCTGCATGGCGTGGATCATAGCTTCATTGAGTTATGCAAGTGCCTTCACCATGACAAGGCTGTGATCCGTGAAGAGGGCAGGTAGCATGGCACTGGAGATGTCAATTTGCTCAAGCAATTAAACTACATAGGTACATCACCTGAAATTGAAATTACCACCTGGTCAAGCTAATGAAAACCCACTCTCATTCTCCAAGACCATCTGTTTTCTGCACGGGCCAAATAGGCTACTTTAATGGGGATGTGGAGAAAATCATCACTCCTGCATGTTTGTAGCCCTTGATGGTACTGCAAATCACTGAAATCCACTCAGGTATGTGCAACAATTTGGTTTACTATATTTCTAGATAGAGGCAATTCTAATTGCTTCCATGCCAAAATAGCCCTCACTCTGCAGGTCAGGGAGCAGATGAGTTGTGGACTCTGCCAGCTGCTGAATATGTCTATCCTATTTTGCATTCCAGAACTGTATAGATAAGCACAGGATTGGTTTGGGTTCACACTTGACCCAATGGAGATGGCCCTAAGCTAAAATTTCATTGATCCCTTGACCTAAAATAAGCTCCTACTATGACTGATGGACCATAATGACACTTGGGGCATCTTGGAATTAGTGTGAGATCAGAGCCAGTGTCCAATAGGCCCCAAAAGGTATTCTCCTAATTCAAAATCACACTCGCTAAAAACCTCTAGGTCCCTTTCAGGAAGGCCAGGAAACAGACTAACAATATATACTTTGGGACAGTGTACCAAGGCATGATGGACACCTACTTCCGGATTTCAAAACTTACTCCAAAACTACAGCTATCAGAACTGTGTAGTACTAGCATAAGGATAGACACATAGATCAGTGGAATACAATTAAGAGTCTGGAAATAAACCCATAAGTGTATTCATGGGCATACATCCCAAAGAGTTGAAAACAGGCATTCACACAGAACCCCATAGAGGAATGTCCACCACAGTAGGCACAAGGGAGAAGTTACCCAAATGTCCGTCCACTGCTGAGCAGATACAAAACACATGTGGTCTAGCCATACAGTGGAATACTATTCAGCCAGGAAAAGGAAAGAAGTGCTGACTTGTGCCACCACGGGCATGGGCCCTATGCTCAGTGACAGCAGCCAGACACAGAAGGCCACCTATTTATTGTATGCCTCCACCTCTAGGAAGTCGACAGAACAGGCCAAGGGCTGTGGACAGGAACCTGATGAGTGCTTGCCTGAGGACTATGGGGGTGTGGTGGGGGAAACTGCAGGAGGGGGCAGTGGGGAGTGAGTGCCTGGCCGGTTCAGGGGTTTCTCTTTGTGGTGGTGCCAGTGTTCTAGACACAGTGGTGATGGTGGCCCAGCACCGCCAGTGTACACTTGATGCCACTGGGTGGTCTGCTGCCTTCTCTGTACAAAGGTCTCCTCCCGTGGAAAGGGAGCGTTCTGACAAAGAGAGGGTCCAATGGGCAGGGTGAGCAGGGTCCTGCCAGCACCATGTCTTTGCAGGCCCAGGCCTGCGGGGGTGGGGGTGGGGTGGGGGGCATGGGAAATCGGCAACCTCAGGGAGTCTGCCTGTCACAGACTGTGCACCCCGACCAATGAAGGGCCGGTCCGTGGTTGCAAAATAACACAATATTATAGAGTACTTTAAACTCTCAATTGTTGTCAAACTCTTTCTTCAGGCCTAATCCTTGACAACCACTGCTCTGGTCTCCATCTCTTAAAAAACTACCTTTCCCATGTGTCTTGTAAGTAGATTCATTAAGTCTGTCAACTTTTGATGCTGGCTGCTATCACTAAACATATTGCTTTTGAGGTTTGTCAAGATTGTTGTGTGTATCAATAGTTATACTCTATTGTTGAGTAGTATTCCATTGTTTGGATGTACCACAGTTTGTTTAACCCTCAGCCTATTGGAGGACATTTTGGTTGTTTCTAGGTTTTTGGCAATGTTGAATAAAGCAGATATGAACATTCATGGATAAGTTTTTATATGAACATAGAGTTTTATTTCTCTAAGGTATATACCCAGGACTTGGCCAACTGGATCATACGAAAAGGTTCTTCATGTCTCTTCACAATTAGCCTCATTCTCATGCCCTAGGGGCAACAACTGTTCTTATGTCTTTCACCACATGTTGGTTTTGCCTGTTTTAGAACTTCAAGTAATGGAATCATATGTGTAAGTACTTTCAGTGATGCCTCTTTTGAAAGACACTGGAACCCTGTGTGCCCTGTTTCCAGCTTCCTGGATGTGGTCCACTGATCAGTGGGATAGCAGCCACTCTATAGAACACAGCCTTGTCGAAATGAAACCCAGGACAGCCAGTCTACAATTATACCCACAGTAATCCACCTTGCCACAACAGAAGCGTCCATGAAGTACACATAGGGGACACCTCCATACCTTTTATCACTGATTACTAGTAGGTAGTGTACTGCTGGGGCCCACAAGGTGTCTCCTGCATGAGACCTCTTCTCCAAGATCAGGAAATGTATCTGATCTTCTTAATACATAGAAATAAACACTGAGATTCAGGCAAAGTGAAGAGAAAGATAGATATGTTCCATATGAAGAACAAGACAAAATATCAGAAAAAGAGCTAAACAAACTGGACATAAACAATCTATCCAGTAAAGATTTCAAGGTAATGATAATAAAGATGCTCAATGAGTTTGAAAGAAGAATTGATGAACGTAGTGAGAATTTTAACAGAGTTAAAAAACTATAAAGCAGAACCAAATAAAGATGAAAAATACCATAACTGAAATGTTAAAATACTCTAGAATGAATCAACAGAAGAGTGGATGATACAGAGTCTCAGGTCTCCCACATTGCAGGCAGATTCTTTACCAGCTGTGCCACCAGGGAAACCCAGGAATACTGGAGTGGGTAGCCTATCCCTATCCAGTGGATCTTCCCAGCCCAGGAATCAAACCCAGGTCTCTTGGGTTGCAGGCAGATTCTTTACCAGCTGAGTCACCAGGAAAACCTAGTTAAAATATGCTAGAAGGAATCAACAGAAGAGTAGATGAAACAGAGGAATGGATCTATGAGCTGGAAGGCATAGCAGTGAAAATCATCTAACTGAAGAGAAACAGAAAAAAAATTGATAAAATGAGGATAGTTTAAAAGAACCCTGGGACAACATCAAGTGTTCTAACATTCACATCATATGAGTCTCAAAGGACAAGAAATACAGAGTTTCAGCTATACAAAATGCATTAGTTCTTGAGATTTACTGTAGAGCATATAGCCTATAATTAACAATACTCTACTGTATACTTTAAATTTTACTAAAAGGGTAGATCTGCTAAACATCATCACAAGATAATAATAACAATAATAATAAAGAGGGTAGGAGAAAACTCTAAATCAAATCCCTTATGATTATAGAGAGGAATTAGGTCTGGTAGACAGAGTGCCTGAAGAACTAGGCACAGAGCTTCAAAACATTGTACAGGAGGTGGTGACCAAAACCGTCCCCCAAAAAAGACACATAAGAAGGCAAAGTGTTGTCTGAGAGGGCCCTACAAATAGGTGAGAAAAAGAAGAGAAGCGAAAGGCAAAGGAGAAGGAGAAAGATACACCCAACTGAATGCAGAGTTCCAAAGAACAGCAAGAAGAGATAAGAAGCCCATTTTTAAGTGAACAATGAAAAGAGATAGAGGGAAACAATATAATGGGAAAGACTAGAGATCTCTTCAATTAGTGATACCAAGGGAACATTTCATGGAAAGATGGGCACAATAAAGGACAAGAACTGTATGGACTTAACAGAAGCAGAACAGATTTAGAAGAGGTGGCAAAAATGCACAGAAGAACTTTACCAAAAAGGCCTTAATGACCTGGATAACCAGGGAAGCCTGACGTACTGCTGTCCATGGGGTCGCAAAATGTCAGAAGTGACTGAGTAAATGAACAGCAACATAGCTTCTGGGGCCTTACTGTAAACTGAAAACTCATTGTCTAAATGAGACAATTGAAAACTAATATATTAACAATAATACTTTTCTATCCATATTACCCAGGACTTTGGGGCATTTCAGTATTTAAAGTATAGAATCATGTCTGTACACCTGGAAAAATCACACATTGTGTTTCATTTTATTTTGTGCCAGTTTTGATCTTGTAAATAGCATAAGAACTAGGTTCTTTGGCTATCCAGATTTCATCTCTTTCTTGGTTTCTTCCCTTAGCTACATGCTCTAAAGCTGCAGTCAGTTCATGGCAAAACATGCTATTTGAGGATGGATAGGTGTGCGTAAAGTGATGGAAAGAGGAACCAGAAGAACTGTCATCATTGTGGTTTTCTTCTTCCTGGTCCTGTAGCTTTTTCTTGTCCAACTTGTAATTTATACACCCGGAAACTTCTTTCATTTCTTGGACAAAGGTCATTTTGGAAGTAAAGATACATAATAGAAAGATAAGGCCTCCAGAGACACCACACAGGAAATACAGGCCCATTTTCTCAGGGATGCCTGTGAGGAAAACAATAAACAATAAACCCATACTCTATAATGGGGTCAAAATGAGAAATACTAAAACAAACAAAGAATAAATGCCAAATGACAAACCAGTTCTTTAGTCTCTTGGTGATTTTTATATTCCTAAATGCTGTGGATTGAATTGTGTCCCCTCCCCCAACAACAACAACCTCAATATGATGGTTTTTGGAGATGAGGCCTTTGGAAAAGAAGTTTACAAAAGGTCATGATGATGGGGCCTTCATGATGGGGTCAGTGCCCTTATAAGGAGAAACAGCATAAGGATATCTTTCCCCCTCCCTCCCTTTCTTGTCTCTGTCTCTGTCTCTCTCGCTCGCTCTCCCATTTAAGGACATACAATGTGAAAGCAGATGTCTACAATATAGGAATAGAGTTTCCTCCTATGCTGGCACCTTAATCTGAATCTTCTTGTCCCCAGATCTGTGAGAAAATAAATTTTGGTTGTTTAAGCCAACTTGTCTATGTTGTTTTGTTTTGGAAGCCTGAGCAGACTAAGATGTTGAATAAGAATTGGACTGGGATTTTGTGTTCGTTTAATCATTATAAATGTGAAGCCCAAGCATGTTTTTGTGGGGTTTTTTTTCTAACATCTCAAGCAAAAGATAGTAGTTGTATATGCATTTTCCATTGTCAAACTTGAAAATACAGAGAATAAAATGTTACACTTCCTATTCCTACCTTCAAAAGAGGGGCTTATTTCACACCAGTTCTGTATTAAATGCAACATACTGCACCAGAGAGACACATCCAGTGAAAAAAATTCACTTGGAAACTCTATATTGGTTGAGATGATAAGCTACTTATCATCATATAACAATCTCTATCTCCTTGTATTTAATGCTATGACTTTTACTCTCTTAAAATAATGATGTTGCTTTAACTATCACTACATCTCCCCTTACTATCAATTCAGAAAGAAGAATTTATCTTTTTATGACCTTTACCTATCACTAGCTGTCTTTTTGGGCATTTAAAATTATTTATTATGACAGGGGAAACTGCTAATGAGAGTTTACTTGGAAAAAAGCAGGTAACATTATATATACAATATTATCTTTTTTCTTTTTTTTTTTAAATGACTTTATGTTTTAGACCAATGTTATGGGCACAATATCATGATTTTTCATGAAATGACCAGATAGCCTTTCTTTCCCACTGAGAGATGGATTAAATTTTTTCTTTGTATGTTTTTATTATAAAGGTGAGATATATTATGAAAAAAAGTTAGAAAATACAGAAAATGGAAAAAAACAGCAACAATACCATCACTTAGGAATGCTATCAACTGTTTGATATAGATCTTTCAAATAGTTTTCTAAATTTCTTTTAATGGCATTATAGTCTATAGGACCTAAACTTGTTAAAACTCTAAGTAGATACTATCAAACTCCCTTTCAATGGTATACAAATAATACACACCACTGGCACATTGAAGTGCTCATAATTTCATTTTAACCAACATGGAGTATTGCAGTTTCTTTGTTACCACTTTAACAAGAAAACATTATCACAATGTTTAATTATGTATGACTCTGATTTCCAGTAATGCTAAACATTTTGACAATTTTATTAGATATTTATGTTTCTCCTTTCTGTCAATTTTATATTACTATCTGTTGCTTAATTGAAAGAAGTAAGTGATTTTGTTATAGATTTCAAAGAGCTCTTATACATTGTTATTATTAGCTCTTTGTCAAGATGAGTACAAACAGTTTTTGTAGTTTGCCTCTTAACATTAATTGTAGCAATTTTTGATGTCCATAGGCTTAATTTTATTAATTTACTCAAATCTAGAACTCTTTTCCTTGTGGCTCCTGTTTTTGAATCATAATAATAATAATTAGAGGTTTATCTCCCACCACAATATATTTCACTTCTATTGTGAATAGCAAATAGATAAGTTCTTTTTCCTTTTGAAAATTTCTATTGCTATTACACCTCTATAGGAAAAATTTTAGATTATCAACATCCATATTTTCCTTTATAGTTTTACTATTTTTAACAGACTAAAGTCTTTTAAAGTTTTTTAGAACAAGTGTTTAGTTTGCAGAGTAATTGTCAGAAAGCAGAGACTTCCCACGTACCTCCCCTCTCTCCTCCCTCTACCCCATTCACACACAATTTCTCCTATTATTAACATTTTGCATTTGTGTAATTTGTGCTATGCATTTGGTACAATTGATGAATCAATGCTGATATATTATTATTAACTAAAGTCCATAGTTTATATTAGGATTCATCTATTTCTGTTGTACAGTTCTGTGGATTTTGATACATGTAGATAGCTCAGCTGGTAAAGTGTCCACCTGCAATGCAGGAGACCCCGATTCAATTCCTGGGTTGGGAAGATCCCCTGGAGAAGAGATAGGCTACCCACTCCAGTATTCTTGGGCTTCTCTTGTGGCTCAGCTGGGAAAGAATCTGCCAGCAATGTGGGAGACCTGGGTTTGATCCCTGGGTTGGGAAGATCCCCGGGAGAAGGGAAAGGCTACCCACTCCAGTATTCTGGCCTGAAGAATTCCATGGACTGTATAGTTCATGGGGTCACAAAGAGTCAGACATGGCTGAGCGACCTTCACTTCACATCACATAATGTTCTATGTTCACCATTATATATATATAAAATAATTTCACTTCTCTAAAACTGCCCAGTGCCCCACCTATTCATCTTTATCTCCACTCTCAAAAAAGAACAGAATCCATCTGACAGAAACTACTTCATCTTCCTTAATCTGAATTAGTCTATACCTACACCTATTTTATCATTCCTCTCTCAACTTGCTTTCATTAGAGAACCTGTCCCTCCTATTTCAATTGGTCTGTCTTTAATTTCACTGATTCTTTCTTCTACCAGCTCAAATTTAATTTTGAGTTCTCTAGTAAACATTTCATTTAAGTTCTATTTTTCAACTCCAGAATTTATATCAAGCTTAACTTTTATAGCTTCTCTTTATTGAAATTCTCTATTTGGTGAGACAGATGAATGGATAAAGAAGATGTGATGCACATATATGGTGGAATATTACTCAGCCATAGAAAGGAATGAAACTGGGTCACTTGTAGTGATGTGTATGAACCTAAAGTCTGTCATACAGAGTGAAGTAAGTCAGAAAGAGAAAAACAAATATTGTATATTAACTCATATACATGGAATCTAGAGAAATGGTACCAATAAACTTATTTGCAGGGCAGGAATAGAGATGTAGATGTAGGCAACAGACTTGTAGACATGGGGAGGGGAGGAGGAGAGGGTGGGACAAATTGAGAGAGTGGCATTTGTCAGGAAGCATTTAACAAGAGGCTTCCTGTGTGCTGTTTTGGATCTGTCAGGAACCCTCTGGCCCTTATTAATTCCTGAATATTCAGGAATTAAGAGGAGAGGCACCGCCTTTCCCGGGGCTGAGGAATCCAGGCATTTCTCATTACGGTGATAAGTACCCTCTTCCTTTTTATGAGCCATACGGTGAAAGGTAATTGTTTGCAACTCTCTCTTCGATAGGGGTTGTCTTATGTTTCGTAAGTCTGGAATTTTAATCTTTATTTTTGCTGAGAATAACCACCTTGTAAGACAGTATATATGCACACACCATGTTGATTAAAACACCTTTGTTCCATCAGAGCTTGGGTCCCCGTGTCTTTCTCTTTCTTTCTTTCTTTTTCTCTCTTTCTCTCTTTCTTTCTTTCTGTCTTTCTCTCTCTCTCTATCTGTCTTTCAGGCTAATTCCTTGGAGCGCGGAGGCCCGCTGAGCTCACTTCCTTGCCCAGGCTTCTAAGACCCTCTCGAGAAGGCGCACTGTGCCTTCACCCACTCGAGAGAGCGCCTGGTGCCTACGTGCAGCAGCACGAGCCCTAAGAATAGGACTCTATTGGCTTTCTGCATAAACCAGGGGATATCAGCCTCTTTCTCTCTCTTACTTTCTTATCGTCGACTCCAGACCACCAGGTTCCGGTCCATTAAAGGACCAACAGCATTGACATATATATACGACCATATGTGAAATAGCTAGCAGGAAGCTGCTATATGACATAGGGAATCCAGCCTGGTCCTCTGTGATGACCTAGAGGGATGAGATGGAGGTGGAGTGGGAGGGAGATCAAAGAGGGAGATTTATATAGTTGATTATACATATAGTTGATTCATGTTGTTGTACAGCAAAAATTAACACATCATTGTAAAGCAACTATGCTCCGATTTAAAAAATTTTGAGAGAATAAATGAAAAAATGCCAATCCCGAAAGTAGAAATCAATATGATGGTTAAAGATACAACAGGAAAATGCAAACCATAAAATGTTAGTACAACTCTATTAACATCAAGCACAATAGATACTAAGGTAGTAAAATTTACTGAAGATTTAAAAGGTCACAGCATTCAAATGAAAAGGTCAATATACCAGGATGATATAACATCATAGGCAAGTGATAACATAGCTTCAACATCCATAATCAAAAATTTACAAGAATAAAGAAGGAATGTGAAAATTCAGCACTATATTACCTCCTTTAGGAGCTAATGGAGAAAGCAAGGTGGCTCAGATGATAAAGAATCCACCTACAATGATTAGATCCAGGTTAGATCCGTGGGTCTGGAACATCTCCTGGAAAAGGGAATGGCAACCCATTCCAGTATTCTTGCCTGGAGAATCCCATGGACAGAGGAGCCTGTTTTGCTACAGTCCATGCAGTCGCAAAGAGCTGGACATGACTGCAGGACTAACATTTCACTTTCTTTTTTTTTCAGTGAAAGCAGTCATAAATGCAATGAAGATATGAAATATTAGCTTAGCACAATTAATAATATTGATCTAACAGTCTCAAACAGAAAACTTCACCCATTACTACAGAAAGGAAAATAGTCACCCATGTGCCACAGACCTCAAGAAATGAGGCTAAATGTATGTTTGTGAGAGTAATGTATATAAGATGGAGCAGTCATACTTCTTTCCTAATGACCATACAGGAAGTATGTCAACTCTGTGGGAAATAGGTCTCAAGAGAGTGGCAACCTATTCTTTCTCACCAGTTTGTTGGCCTGCTTTGGCATATTGGAGAGACAGTGTCATCTAGGAGCATCTATAAGAGACCTGCTCAAAAAGTTATCCTTCTACACATACTTTCACCAAAAAGGTCTACAGCACTTGGCATAATTTGAAAACTGCATTGGACTGATAATGTATCTACATTCTTAACTATTTTTGCATCAACAGATCTCTGGTGAATCCAATATAAGTTGCTAATGAGCACAGGATTTCTTTGGGGGGAGGTAATAAAATGTTCTAAAATGTGACCATGGTAATGATTACACAACTCTGTGCATATACAAATCATTAATTGTATACTTAATAGGATGAATTTTATGATGTGTAAACTATACCTTCAAGTCTGCAAAAAAAAGAAATCTTGTTGGAGGAAGTTTGCCATTTGAGAATGAGTCAAAGATTAATGGAGTTTGGACTAATCACCTTAGACTCTGATATTATATATTAACTCTATAATTTAACTCTTTAATTTAAATATATATAGTTTTGGTACAAAATCTGACTCCCTGAGACTGTATGTATGGAAGATGCTCTTCACCATTAGATGCTCTAAGCAAGCTTTCCAATAGACTTAGACAAAAAAGCACCATTTCAAATATTAAATTCCATTTTTATGAGACTTTATTTTTCCACCTAAAACTGCCTAATCTTTTTTTTATGAACTAATGCTTTTATTTTTTTTTTCTTTTCATTTATTTGTATTAGTTGGAGGCTAATTACTTCACAACATTTCAGTGGGTTTTGTCATACATTGACATGAATCAGCCATGGAGTTACATGTATTCCCCATCCCGATCCCCCCTCCCACCTCCCTCTCATGTCCTGGCTATTATAAACAGTGCTGTGATGAATATTGGGGTGCACGTGTCTCTTTCAGATCTGGTTTCCTCGGTGTGTATGCCCAGAAGTGGTATTGCTGGGTCATATGGCATAAAACTGCCTAATCTTAGTTCAGATTAAATCCCCATGATTGTGTCGGAATGAAAGAGATATTTTATAGGAAGGCCGTATGTAGGAGATCAGATTAGACCCAAGTTTTTAAGAGGGGAAAGGATGAAGAAAAGAATATTTAGTATTAAATAAGACTATTTAACTATTCTGTTTCTAATCATTCACCTGTAGGCATACTATGCAGAGTGTCTTCTGATACTTACCATATATATAATCAGACAGTGTAAATGGGTCCATTGAGCTATGGTCAATTTCTTGCAACAGCTATATAGGCACTGAAATGCAAAACAAAGAGTAGAAAATTGACATGGGAATTTCAATTACTGTTCATACAACTGGGATGGTTAAAAAGTTGATATTTGGCAGACTTTCATTTAAAATAATGTATTGTGAGAGACTAAATTAAAGTAGTGTTAATCTAAATTTTTAAGTGACAGCCTTGTCATACCTATTTATTTCCATGGAATAAATCCTGAGTATTGAATCAAGTAATGGTCTAGGCATTGTCACAGAACAGAGGAAGGAATAAATGAACTAAGGAGATTTCAAAATGCAGAAGCAAGGAGTGTACACTAAAGTAGTAAGGATGCTTGAATTGGAAAGTAGTGAAGACTTTGGATTAAAGCAATTTTAAAATAAGGATTTACCCAACACCAAAGATGAAGACATGGTTTTAATGTATGGAATGGCTCCTTCCTGTTGGTTTAGAAAAATGTTGGCATATTTTAAATAAAAAATAAAAAGATATCTGTAATCTCACATCCCCCAGAACTATCTCTGAGTTTTCATCTTACTGTTCCTCATAACATTATAGACACAGCTGATTACTTCTTCCTTTCCATCAGTCTTCTCCCTTTTTGCTTTCACACCACATTCTTCTCATTTTCTTCATACTTTATCTCTTCTTATTTCCCTTTGAATTAATCCTGGAATGTGAAATCAAGTGGGCCTTAGGAAGTATCACAACAAACAAAGCTAGTGGAGGTGATGGAATTCCAGTTGAGCTATTTCAATTCCTAAAAGATGATGCTGTTAAAGTGCTGCACTCAAAATGCCAGCAAATTTCGAAAACTCAGCAGTGGCCACAGGACTGGAAAAGTCAGTTTTCATTCCAATCCCAAAGAAGAGCAATGGCAAAGAATGTTCAAACTACCACACAGTTGCACTTATTTCTCATGCTAGCAAAGTAGTGTTCAAAATTCTCCAAGCCAGGCTTTAACAGTATGTCAACTGTGAACTTCCAGATGTTCAAGCTGGATTTAGAAAAGGTAGAGGAACCAGAGATCAAATTGCCAATATCCATTGGCTCATCAAAAAAGCAGAGAATTCCAGGAAAATATCTACTCTGCTTTATCGATTATGCCAAAGCCTTTGACTGTGTGAATCACAAGAAACTGTGGAAAATTCTTCAAGAGATGGAAATAACAGGCCACCTTGTCTACCTCTGGAGATTTCTGTATGCATGTCAAGAAGCAACAGTTAGAACCGGACATGGAACAACAGACTGGTTCCAAATTGGGAAAGGAGTACATCAAGGCTGTATATTGTCACTTTGCTTAGTTAACTTATATGCAGAGTACATCATGAGAATTGCCATACTCGATGAAGTGCAAGCTGGAACCAAGATTGCCGGGAGAAATTTCAATAACTTCAGATATGCAGGTGACACCACCCTTACGACATAAAGCAAAGAACTAAAGAGCCTCCTGATGAAAATGAAAGAGGAGAGTTTAAAAGTTGGCTTAAAACTCAACATTCAGAAAACTAAGATCATGGCATCTGGTCCCATCATTTCATGGGAAATAGATGGAGAAACAATGAAAACAGTGACAGACNNNAGTAGTTGTGTACAGATATGAGAGTTGGACCATAAAGAAGGCTGAGAGCCGAAGAATTTGTTTTTGAACTGTGGTGTTGGAGAAGACCCTTGAGAGTTCTTGGACTGCAAGGAGATCCATCCAGTCAATCCTAAAGGAAATCAGTCCTGAACATTCACTGGAAGGTCTGATGCTGAAGCTGAAATTCCAATACTTTGGCCACCTGATGCAAAGAACTGACTCATTGGAAAAGGCCTTGATGCTGGGAAAGATTGAAGGCAGGAGGAGAAAGGGAGGACAGAGGATGAGATGACTGGATGGCATCACTGACTTGACGGACATAAGTTTGAGCAAGCTCTGGGAGTTAGTGATAGACAGGGAAGCCTGGAGTGCTGCAGTCCATGGGGTCGCAAAGAGTCATATATGACTGAGCAACTGAACTGAACTGAACTGAGTCCCCTTTGAAATTTTCTTTTTCTCTGCAAGTCTCTTAAGTGCTAACATTCCTTTGGACTTTGTTCTAACCCCACTTCAAACTATACACAGCAGTTATCCTGCTATGTCAACATTTTGTTTGGAGATTTCTCCATTCTACAAATATTAGTAGGATAAGTATCATTAACCTTTTAGGAAGAATATAGGCATATTTTAAATATAAACGACAGCTAAGCTGTTTTGGCTACTCAAAGTCTTAACCCCTTTCTGCAATGGGTTAATATGACTGCAATATTAACCCACATTATAGGTTTCTGTGGGAAGAAAACTTTACCTCCTATTACAGGGAATAAAAATTCAAGTGCTGACTTTCCCAATCTCCCTTACAACTAGGGATTTGGAACATGATCTAAGCTTGCCCAGTCAGATGTGTCTGTGCCACCTGGACTTGGAAGCTAATAACTTAAAACTTTTCTCTCTTCAGAGGCAGCAGCTGTTTAATGGAATAAGCATTTTTCTTACCATAAAGTTCCAAAGTACAGTTTGGGGCATTTTTATTAGATATATAGCTAAGCCAGGTTATACATACGTCTCAGCAACTTCTATGAGATATCCACTGCCCTTTTAATAAACTCCTTTTCTGCTAAAACAGCTTAGGTTGACCTCTACTGCAGGTATCTAACCATCCCAACTGATACAGCTCCTAATACCTTCAGTACTGGCTCCACACTCAAATCAACATGCATATATATATATATATATATATATATGTATATATATATATACATACTAACTTATCATTTTCTCCTGAATATCTCACAAGTATGGAATCACAGTCACTTAATACCTGTATAATCTTGAACGTGTTACTTTTCCTTTCTGAATCTCTGTTTTCTTTTCTATAGAATGGGAATAAAAGCAAGGGAGAAGGGGAAAGGTACATCCAACTAAACACAGAGTTCCAAAGAATAGCAGGGAGAGACAAGAAGGCCTTCTTCAATGGACAGTGCATAAAAGTAAAGGAAAACAGCAAAAGGGGAAAGAATAGAGATATCTTTAGGAAAATTGGAAATATCAAGGTAACATTTTGTGCAAAGATGGCCACAATAAAGGACAGAAATGGTAGAGACCTGGTAGATGCAGAAGAGATCAAGAAGAGATGGAAAGAATACATGGAAGAAGTGTACAAAAGAGATCTTAATGAACTGGATAACTATGATAGTGTGGTCAGTCACCCAGAACCAGACATTCTGGAGTGTGAAGTCAAGTGGGCCTTCGGAAGCACTGCTGTCAACAAAGCTATTTGATGTGATATAATTTCAGTAGAGCTATTCAAAACCCTAAAGCATGATGCTGTCAATGTGTTGCACTCAATATGTCAGCAAATCTGGAAGACCCAGCAGTGGCGACAGGACTGAAAAGGCCAATCCTCATCCCAATTCCCAAGAAGGGTAATGCCAAAGAATGTGCTAGCCATCAGACAATTGCACTCATCTCCCATGCTAGTAAAGTGAAAGTGAAAGTCACTCAGTCATGTCTGACTCTTTGCCGCTCCATAGACTATACAGTCCATGAAATTCCACAGGCCAGAATACTGGAGTAGGTAGCCTATCCCTTCTCCAAAAGGTCTTCCTGACCCAGGAATTGAACCGGGGTCTCCGGCATTGCAGGCAGATTCTTTGCCAACTGAGCTCTCAGGGAAGCCCCCCATGCTAGTAAGGTCATGCTTAAGACCTTGCATGCTGGGCTTCAGCGTTATGGGAGCCAAGAACTTCCAGATGTCCAAGCTGGCTTTAGAAAAGGCAGAGGAATGAGGGATGAAATTGCCAACATGCATTGGATCATAGAGAGCTAGGGAATTCCAGATAAACCTCTACCTCTGTTTCATCAACTATGCTAAAAGGCCTTTGACTGTGTGGATCATAACTAACTGTGGAAAGCTCTTAAAGAGATGGGAACACCAGACTGTCTTACCTGTCTACTGAGAAACCTGTATGTGAGTCAAGAAGCAACATTTAGAACCCTGTATGGAACAACTGACTGGTTCAGGATTAAGAAAGGAGTATGACAGGGCTGTCTGCTGTCACCCTGTTTATTTAACCTATATGCTGAGCACATCACAAGAAATGCTGGGCTGGATGAGTTATAAGATAGGCAGGAGAAATGTCAACAACCTCAGATATGTGGATGATACCACTCTAATGGCAGAAAGTAAAGAGGAACTAAAGAGGCTGTTGATGAGGGTGAAGGAGGAGAGTGAAAGAGCCAGCTTAAAACTAAATATTAAAAAAAACTAAGATCATGGCATCAGGCCCCATTACTTCATGGCAAATAGAAAGGGAAAAGGTGGGCTTCCCAGGTGGCACTAGTGGTAAAGAATCTACCTGCCAATGCAGAAAACTTAAGAGATGCTGCTTCAATCCCTGGGTTGGGAAGATCTCCTGGAGAAGGAAATGGCAACCCACTCCAGTATTCTCACCTGGGAAATCCCATGGACAGAGGAGCCTCGCAGGCTACAGTCCATGGGATCACAAGAGTCAGACATGACTGAGCATCTGAGCACACCATGGCATCCGGCCCTCTTACTTCATGGCGAATAGAAAGGGGAAAAGGTGGAAGTAGCAACAGATTTCCTCTTCTTTGGCTCTAAAATCACTGTGAATGGTGACTGCAACCCTGAAATCAGAAGACGTTTGCTTCTTGGCAAGAAAGCTATGACAAACCTAGACAGCGTGTTGAAAAGCAGAGACACTACTCTGCCAACAAAGGTCCATATAGTCAAGGCTATGGTCTTCCCAGTGGTCACATAATGGTTGCGAGAGCTGGACCATGAAGAAGGCAGAGTGCCAAAGAACTGATGCCTTCAAACTGTGGTGCTGGAGAAGACTCCTGAGAGTCCCTTGGACAGCAAGGAGATCAAACTAGTCAATCCTAAGTGAAATCAACCCTGAATATTCGTGGGAAGGACTGATGCTGAAGCTGATGCTCCAGTATTTTGGTCATCTGATGCGAACAGATGACTCATTGGGAAAGTCCCTGATGCTAGGAAAGATTGAGGACAAAAGGAGAAGAAGATGTCAGAGGATAAGATGGCTGGATGGCATCACTGATGCAATGGACATGAACTTGGCAAACTTGGGACATGGTGAGGGACAGGGAGGCCTGTTGTGCTGCAGTCCATGGGAGTCGCAAAGAGTCAGACATGACTGGGCAACTAAACAACAGCAACACCTCACGGGATTATTTTAATGACCAAATGAGAAACATGGATGTAAAGAAATTGGAAACTGAAAAGTGCTATACAGATTTTAGCTATTATTGTAATTGTAGAATGCGAGTTAGTTATAATATTGTAGCTTTCCACAGTAATTTATTAAGTGGTAGGGACACCCTCTTTTTCTTACCACATATATAGGAAACTTGCAGCTGTTTCTTCACTCCTGGGAAACAAAGTTCACCGAAAGTAGCTGTATCTGTAAACAACGTACAGTTTTCTCTCTTTTGACACTGTCTCAAGACTCCTTGTAGAGCGTCAGGAGCTAAGCACTCTGTTGGTTTTGATTAAAACAAACAAATGATTTGAGTTGGGGAAGAAAAAAAGAGGTAGAATGCATAGAAGAACCAGAATAGGTATTTCTGCAATGTAGGCTTAAGAGTTTTTTTTTAATATGCAAAATACTTTAAGATCTCAAGGAAATAGAACTAAAAGGGTGGTCTTGCGGTCAAAATAGTCTATTCAAGATGCCTTCACTGGGGTGAATGAACCTAGATACTGTTATCCTCTTTGTCATTTTATTTGAGATACAAATAATCATGGAAGGAGCGTCTATTCCCTTGGCCTGACTTGGCTAGCATGCCCACTCCTTGGCTAGTGAAGAGCATTGTCCCTTTAGACTATAGTCAATGTTAATAATTTCCTAAAAGGAAATTCAGGATGTTAGTAGGATGGGAAAATAGATCTTAGGTAAACAATACAAATGCACACTATTCTTGGATGGAAAGAGCAATCTTGATTTTTTTTTTTTTCTATCACATCATACTGCCAGGCTTTAACAGCACACCAGGTCCAGAATTCTCTTTAACTTAGAAAGAAGCTGATGTCTTTGTCTTATCTTCCCTAGGAAACCATACCATAGGATCTCCCAAGGTCTTGGCAGATATTAAATACTGCTGAGTATTGGATCTTCCTTCCTCTGAGATGCATGAAAGAGATATGTCATTTTTGTACTTGAAAAAAAAAATGCAATACAACTTTTGTTTGCCAAGAGTTCTAAAGATTGAAAATTTTCTCCAAGTTCCTAACAGCTCAAATTCTTTTTATTGTTCTAAATATGTAGTTTACAATGTATTATTTTAGATTTTCAATATCTATGATTATTTAGCAATTAAAGATATTAGTACAACTTAGTGACTTTGAAAAATACAAATTTACAAATACTAAATTTCTTCTGTCTTTTATGGAAGAAGTAATTGAAGTGTAGATGAGGAAGCCAGGTTAGAGGTATCTTATACTCTATCACTGGGCTCCCCTGGTGGCTCAGACAGTAAAGAATCCACCTGCAATGCAGGAGACCTGGGTTCGATCCTTGGATTGGGAAGATTTCCTGGAGGGGGGCATGGCAACCCACTCCAATATTATTGCCTGGAGAATCCCCATGGACAGAGGAGCCTGGCAGGCTCTAGTCCATGGGATTGCAGAGAGTCAGACATGACTGAGTGACTAAGCACGAGCATGCACTATCACTAGAGCAGAGTTTCTCAACCTTGGACGTATTTACTTTAAAGGTTGGATAATTCTTAGTTGCAGGGGCTGTCCTATACACTGTATAATGTTTAACAGCATCCTTGACCTCTACCCACTAGATGTCAGCAACAACTGACCCCAGTTGTGATAACCAAACATGTTTCCAGACACAGTGTCTTTGGGGAAGAGGTTAAAATCACTGCTGATTGACAATCACTGGACAGAGGTTAAGATAAATAATCCTGTGCATAGTTATTTTTAATAAGAAAAAGGTTTATGAAGATTTTGTCCTGAACTATGCCAAGGTTTATGAGAATCAACAGAGGTTATTCAAAGCTTATTTTGATCTGAAGCATTCAAGAGGCATGTCTTCTACAGAACCATGAATATACCAGAAAGCAGCACAATGCAGCAATAATCACAGAGCAACAGCACTGAAACTGAGATCAGTTTAGGCCAAAGACAGAAATTATGGCAGTGGAAATTGCACACAGACCTTATTTATTGGTACTAAAGTTACGGCTTACTTCAGCAATAATGTGATACAGTGTTGCGTTAGCTGAAATATGTCAATGTAAGTGAGTTTTCCAATCAAATTCTTAAGGATGTTAATTTTTGTGGCATATGCTTCAGGATAAACTGGAGCAGGCAGAGGCTACTGAGTTTGCACATTTTAAAACTAAGCATTGTCTTACACCTACACTGTCTCTGGAAAACATATAAGGCATAGCTTTCAACAGCAACATTTCTGTGGCTCTGCACTAGTTAATCATGATTATACTCTTGTTCATAAAATAGTTGCAACCAGTTGAGAATGTTCATATTATATACTCAGTGCTAGTCTCATGGTATTGCTTATATTTTAATATCATGGTGATATGAAATACACTAATCGATTATTTAAAGTTCAGAGAATTTGGAAATTTCTACTATAGATTTGTGTGTCTTCTATTTCCAACATACCTATGACAAGTCCATTTTTATTCGTTATATCACATTTTTGTTTTCCTTCCATGAATTTGCCATAACTTTCAGAGAAAATTGTCAAACAGATTTATTTCTGCATCGAAGCCTCATTGTACCATTCTCACACACTCTTTATTTGGTAGTTCACTAGGAAACAAAGTTGATACTTTAGATTCCCTTTTAAATTCAACATTATATTCCAATATGTTTATTTTTAAACTGTTTTGAAGCAATGATAGTTTAAGCCTCCTTAAAATGAGGAGAAATATAAAGCCATCTGAACTTGTAGAAATCAGCTGTCAGAAGACCTGCAATCCAAACTTTTAAATGAGAGGAGGGTTAAAGTGAAAGTAGCTCTTACTTTTGGGTAAATTTCAAATCTTGAGTTATAGAATAGAAATAGGCCTCTATCACCAAGAAGTATTTTGTGTTTCTGGTTTAATACAGCTTAACGTATTATACAGTGATTTAAAATTGCTAAGCATGAAAACAAAGACAGAACACTTAGAAATGAGCCCACAAACTATATAGGTCCCATCCTTTTTGGTAAATCCCCTCTTGATTTTAAACACCATTGTAAAACTTACCTGGTCTACATTTATAAGATACTTGTATATGCCAGGACATGGATCTTGTCCAAACATTTGACTATTCATAGATATCTGACACCATCGTTCGTCCTTGCACTCATCCAGGAGTTTCTTGTGAAGAAGGAAAAGAGAGAAATTACTGAATAGAAGTTCACATCAATGTGTTATCATTTCCACTAATGAATTTTACAAAATTTTAAAAAGTTGAATTCTTTAACTTTCCAATAAAATGTTTCTTTTTTCCCCTGACACATAGATGTTCTATTTATTGAACTTTGAGAAGAGAATATATATACAGTGATGGATTAGACATAAAAACTAAGGCCTTGAATTACAGTTCTGTTACTTACTTGCTATGTGACTACCAGCAAATTGCCTCTGTAAAATTATATTTGCTTGTATGTTAAAAGGAGATACTAATTCCTGGCACAAGTTAAGCAAAGGGCTATTTTCAAATCTAATTTCTACAGAAATGAAAGCTTTTAATATATGACAAATTGAATACTCTCTGGTTCTGGAAATAGAAAAAGCAGGTGGCCAAACAATTAATGTGGTTAGTTACAATGGGAAGGAGAGAAGAAGCAAGAAGCTCTTAAAAATGAGGGGAAAAAAAAAAGAGAGCTTGGTATCATGAGAGCCAAAGGAACTGCATGTTTAAAGAAAGGTAGAATGGTAGACTGTGTCTACTTATTGTGACACCAATAAGTCACATTAGATAAAGACATAAAAGGGTCCACTGGTGAAGATCAGTAGTGATCTCAGTGGAGCTAGTGGTGGCAGGAATAAGACTGAGTTGCTACCAAAAAAGTAGAGATGGAAAGTATATTCTTTCAAGCATATAAGGATGAATGATGGGTCAATCAGGAAGCTGCTCATACATTAGTCTCTTGTTGCTGTTGTTTTTAGTTCCTAAGTCATGTCCAACTCTTTATGAGCCCACAGACTGTAGCCCGCCAGGCTCCTCTGTCCATGGAATTCTCCAGGCAAGAATACTGGAGTGAGTTGCCATTTCCTCCTTCAGGGGATCTTTCCCAACCCAGGGATCAAACCCAAGTCTCCTGCATTGGCAGGCAGATTCTTTACCCTAAGCCATCTGGGAAGCCCATATTAGTCTCTAGGGAAAACTAGAATGTTCTCAATTGATTCCAGGTATGTTTTAGTTTTTATTAGATCATGAGCTCTTAGGAAGCTTCTCAAATCATGGAGCCCTTAATCCAGCACCCATCTAGGTCACCAATCACCTCTATTACTGAATAGCTGTATAACCTTGGGAGAATCAGTTCGCTTATCTGATTCTTAGTTTCCTCATCTATAAAATGATATTTAAAAGTAGTACCTACTTCACGATGCTATGTGTACTAAAGGAAAGATTTCATGTATTGTGCCAAGCAATATGCCTGGCACATAGTAAGTACTCAAAAAATGTTAGCTATTACTATATAAGAAGGGAAGGGAAATGGCCAAATTAAGAATATGTAACTGAAATCAAAGCTCTTCTAATCTAAATGGTGTAGTCAAGCTATGCATGATTAATTTCTTTTCCATTTTGCTCATGTTTCCATGGTAATTACATATTCAATCTATTCTTTCATCAAATAAAATTAGATATGTTTGCTTTTGAATGTAGAGTTACCAGGACCCTTGCCTTCTGAGAAGTTGGGTCTTACCTGTCTAGCTGTGACTGATACACAGGTGGCATTTTCACTGGTCTTATCAACTGGAGTTGGACAAAAGTTTTCATCAGGGACTTTATGACCATAAAAAGCAGAAAGGATGCTGATAGGTGTCTTTTGTGAGCAAGTGAGTCCCAATTTCTCTACTTCACATGCATGAGCTGTATGGTTCTTCAAGACTTTCTTAAGGTGGCCTGAAGGAATGTTAGAGACAAACAATGGAGCAAATACTGTATTATTCCCAAAGGATTTTGTGTAGGGTGAAGGGCCTCTAATTTCATCTTGGCTAGCCCTCCACACAGTTACTGCATATCTTTATTTTTTTTCATTTATTTTTATTAGTTGGAGGCTAATTACTTTACAATATTGTAGTGGGTTTTGTCATACATTGACATGAATCAGCCATGGAGTTACATGTATTCCCCATCCCGATCCCCCCTCCCACCTCCCTCTCTACCCGATCCCTCTGGGTCTTCCCAGTGCACCAGGCCCGAGCACTTGTCTCATGCATCCAACCTGGGCTGGTGATCTGTTTCACCCTAGATAATATACATGTTTCGATGCTGTTCTCTCGAAACATCCCACCCTCGTCTTCTCCCACAGAGTCCAAAAGTCT